CATAATTTGCTTATATTAATAATATAATTAGAAATACAATATAATTTTATATACAGTATTGTTTTATAAATAGTTTGTAATTTTGTAATAAGTTTGATAATTAATTTCATAAATTTCTTAATAAAATTTTTGTGTATCAAATAATTCCCTATATTACAGTAATAGGATGTATAATTGTGTTTAAGTAAGGATAATTATGTATACAATTCAAATGCAATCATAAGTGTTGCATGAATTGTATTGAATGTGTCATAAAATTGATTCACAAGTATGATAAATATGATTGCAATATAAAACATAACAATATGTTTGTGTAAACGTATTGTATTTGAGTTTTGACAGTCAATTGATTTTTATTTTATGAATTCATTTCATATGTAATTATTTTAGAAATCAATCAAAAATATAATACTCTGTAGCTATTTTATCGGACGGTACAGTACTCGTTATGGAAAGTTACCTTGTTTATAATACATTTAATTATATATTTTATTAACACACATGAAACAAAAATATTCTAGTTGTGATTACTAATTACTATTACTAATTGTAAATTTGTATTTTAAATATTTATTATGAAACATTTTGTGTCTAATTTATAATGTGCTAACCATTCACGGCTTTCTAGACGAGTACAGTCATAATGACCGAGTTACTGTGTGGAGGGGGTTTGTCGTGTCGCCGCCATTTTTGCACATTTTTCTTGACGATGTAGTACCGGAAGTCGTCATCGATGGCCACTGATCTCAAGTGTTGCGGACACTTAGTATGCGACTTACAATAGGTAAGCAGTTGAGCCAAACTGTGGACATACTTTTCATACAAATCATTGCCATCGATAGACACGATCTGTTTCTTGCCGTCAAAATTCCTCTCAATAGTATTCAACAGTTTCTGTGATATTATAGTAAAAATAATTCATTTATAAGTTTAGTATAAATCTATAGTATTGCTAATGAATAGCACATTCACTCAAACGACAATCAAAACACATTTCGCACAACACTTTGTAAACAATAATCACATATCCATTGACTTTGCGGTGATAGTCATCGCCAGTGAAGACATACCCAATGGCCGGCACCTCATCCGATATGATACTAATCGCCGGCAACTCTCACCGCGAGTTAGCCAAAGAGATCAGCAACCGGTTGGGCGTACGACTGGCCTCCCAGTCCCTCTACCACTCGACCAATCGGGAGACAGTGCTGGACATCGGGGACAGTGTGAGGGGACGGGACTGCTATCTGATCCAAACGGGCGGTAAGGATGTGAACAACAACATAATGGAGCTCTTGATTATGGCCTACGCGTGTAAGACTTCTTCAGCCAAGAACATAGTGGGAGTCATACCATACCTGCCGTACGGCAAGCAGTCGAAGATGCGGAAGAGGGGCGCCATTGTCGCCAAACTGCTCGCGAAGTTGATCTGTAAGGCCGGCTTCACTCACATCATCACAATGGATATGCACCAGAAGGAGGTTAGGGGTGTGCATGGGGTTAGGGGTTAGAGGCAGGGGAACGGTATGTCTGTGTCTATGAGTGCCGTGTTTGCTATGCTTTCCAATGGAAAGTTTCCATACAATCTCTCTCTCTCTCTCTCTCTCTCTCTCTCTCTCTCTTTCCAATCACACGAATGAGTGGCTATTTTTCAAAGAGAGAAAGAGAAACAAATAGTTTGAGTGAATGTTTCGTTTCTCTATTATTGAATTATAAACGCCGGACGCCTTCACCAACCCTTTCATTAAGAGCTGAAAAAGCAAACTATCCTTCAGTTGAGAGACAAAACTATTGAAACAAATTGTATGCAGAGAGAGAGAGAGAGAGAGAGAGAGAGAGAGATCGGATGGGATGGAGAAATACAGACAAAGCAAAAAGACAATAGGATTACACCCGGCATATGACACATATAGTGTATACACAACGGAAAGTGCATTGATTTGAAGTCCAGGCGTCTAAACATAGTCACTGAATCAGAAATTAAATCATTAAATTCATTCGTATTTTAGTTTAATTAAATTTTGCCATTTCTTTCTATTATACTTCAAAAATTATTTTACAGACTAATTACTATTTATTCGTTTAGTCCCACATTCTCTCTCTCTCTCTCTCTCTCCCTCCCTCCCTCTCCCCCATTGGATATAATGTACTCTTTTTTGTTGTATAGAAATATAATCAAAAATAATCACTAGTTTTAGAGTAAATAGAGTTATGTTCTCACAAGTGATGAACTGATGTTAAGCTCAATGTATGGCTACTTATGGCTTATGTATGCCTACACTCAGACAGACAGGACAGGACTGGTCTTCGCGTTTGAATCAATGGTTTATAATCTTATATAAGAAGAGGAAAGTGAAGAAGAAAAACCTGTTTTATGTATTAAATAAAGTGAATAAAGAAAATACAAAATATATATATATAATGAAATAAGAAGTCAATCGTATGCCGGATGTGTTGCTACTCTCTCTAAGAGATGATAATTTAAAATGAAATTTTTGCACAAAAATAGTTTTTATATAATTTTAATACATTAAGTCACAGCAAATGTAATTAATATATGGTTTAATGTTAGTTCACCAACGGTTAAACGTATTATTTTATAATCATAACTTTATATGAAGGCATAATAGTATCAATATAATAAGTTTTAATTTAGTTTTAGCTAGCAAAATTTGAATTGATTGTATACTTCTTAAAACCAAACCATGACATAGACTTTTAATTAAATTGATTGTAAAAATATTGATTTATTTATAAGATTTTAAATTTTTTTATATGGCATCGAAAGGCGTCTAAGAAAATATTTTCTTACAACGACTCTAACACTGCAATTGAAAACATGGATTAAAATCTTGTTTTTCATACGATTTTCAAATGTGTGCTTAAAATTAAATGCATGATTTATATCTTTTGCAAAATTTATATATTTTATAACATTAACTGATTTATTATTAATAGAGAAAACTCTATGTTTTGTTGTACTAAATGAGATTAAATTTGATTGTTCAACACATACCACTCTCTCTAAGAGATGATAATTTAAAATGAAATTTTTGCACAAAAATAGTTTTTATATAATTTTAATACATTAAGTCACAGCAAATGTAATTAATATATGGTTTAATGTTAGTTCACCAACGGTTAAGCGTATTATTTTATAATCATAACTTTATATGAAGGCATAATGGTATCAATATAATAAGTTTTAATTTAGTTTTAGCTAGCACAATTTGAATTGATTGTATACTTCTTAAAACCAAACCATGACATAGACTTTTGTATTAAATTGATTTTAAAAATATTGATTTATTTATAAGATTTTAAATTTTTTTATATGGCATCGAAAGGCGTCTAAGAAAATATTTTCTTACAGCGACTCTAACACTGCAATTGAAAACATGGATTAAAATCTTGTTTTTCATACGATTTTCAAATGTGTGCTTAAAATGAAATGCATGATTTATATCTTTTGCAAAATTTATATATTTTATAACATTAACTGATTTATTATTAATAGAGAAAACTCTATGTTTTGTTGTACTAAATGAGATTAAATTTGATTGTTCAACACATACCGGTGCCTCCCTGTTCTCGACGGGATTATGCTTTAAGTGGGATTGGATTACATGGTATTTGCCAATGGATTAGTGAAATATTGTCAGAAAAGTCTCGCAAATGTTTAAAAAATATAAATAAATAATTTAAATATTGAGTTAGATTTATAGTACTGTACAATGAATTATATGATGTTAACGTATAATTCATTTGAAAACAAAAAAAAGATTTATTTAAATAAGTTTTATAAATATTTAAAACATATTTTTAGTGTTGAGTTTAGTTATTTATATTTACAAATTTGTTTATGGGTCAATCTTGTTTATTAAAATTAGCATGGTTATGGCGACATAAATCAAATCAATAAAATAAATAATTCATAAGGGTACTTTAATTCTTATAATTTGATATTTTAATACTGTTGTGTATGATTCATAAAACATTGATCCCGAATAACATAGTGTATTCAAAAGCATTGAAACACATTTGAATTTAAAAAATATTTTTTGATTTTTAATTTAATATTTTACATTAAGGTTTTTACTTATAGTCGATTGGATTATAAACATAAAAAGTATAAATATTTACTGTAATGCTGATTAAATCACTTCAAATTTAACTTTTAATAAATGAACAAGCTATTTGGAAATTCCTTGATCACAATTGTTGGATATACTCTCGAGTAATACATTGGATATGATTTATGCATAAAAATATTGACCACAAGTAATCACCAATAGATTGATGCGGTGATCAGAAACATTTTCGGGTCAACCAATTTGAAAGCAATTAATTACATATAAACCCATAATGAGTGGCACTGGCAGACAGTCCACTGGCCAGTCATAAACAGACTGACCGATTGGGAGACCCTTTCCTTTTTAATCGCCTCAAATAGCAATTATTTCTGCACTAAATAATAGGTTAAGTGAATGGTTACCAATCATATGATTGAATCAAATATTTTCTCTCTCTTTCTCTATGCGGATGTCAAACCTTATTATCAATCAGTGGTTACATAATGGACGTCAATATTAATGGTCACACAAACAGTCAGTTTAGTGATTGACAGCCTATTATCGCAATTGATTGAGTCCTTAACGGTTGGCCCGGGATTTGCAAACTTATGAGTTAATTGAATCAATTCAGTGACAGAGAGAGAGAGAGAGAGAGAGAGAGAGAGAGAGAGAGAGAGACCGTAATATAGTAATAAAACAAATATTTCAATCATTTAATTTCCCGATATTTTTATTGAGAAACATAATTACAGTTAAATATTTCATAAATTAATGATAAACAACATTAAGTAAAGATTTTAATACCGATATAACAAATGTGACACAAAATGCTTAATAATTTTGGTATAAAAATAATAATATATATATTGAGTATCAAATCAAAATGACTAAATATTGAGCGCATGTGTGTCGGGCACCGGGAGGCTATCAATCGGGCAAAAAGATATTCTTAATGGACTTCTGAACGGAAGTCCGAAGACGAGTGACGGCTGAGTTAGCGCTGGAGTAGTTGTCCTCCGAGTTGTGGTGATTATAGCGAGTGGACGAGCCGTGAGACATACCGGTGCTGCGGGACCACTGCTCGGGGTTCTCGCCGATGTAAACGAAAGTCCAGTCGCCTTTGCCCTCGCACTCGGCGATCACCTCCCGGACCTGTGCAAGAGTCGTGTGTTTGGAGGCGTTCTCCTCGCCATCCGTCATAATCACGCAAATCACGCGATCCTCCGCTCCCTTGTCCTCGAGGGCCACACCAACTCCCCGTCCGATGGCATCGTATAGGGCTGTATAGCCGCTGGGCTTGTAGTTGTCTCCAGTGAGCGCCGGTATGTCATCCAATGGGACGCCTTTGTAGAGGACTTTCACTGTGCTGTTGAATGTGACCAAATAGACATATCCCTGGTCATTGGGCACCTGGCGCTGCGAGGTCATGAACTGGTTGAACCCGCCCAACGTGTCCGTCAGTTTCGGTGACATACTTCCCGACTCATCCAATACGACGACAATCAATGTCTTGGACACCACTCTTAAGGCCATTGTCTGTCAGAGTAGTAACTGTTTAGGGATTCAAATGAGTGGTTATTATAGCGATAAATCCGTTTTAAATTAGGAGCTCATAATGTATGCAATATATGGCTAAATGTAACGTAAGTGTGATTTAATGAATGAATGAAATACTTGTCAATTAAACAGCGATTGTGTGGCAAACCATGTGTTAACTCTTCACTGACTGTCAGTTTATGACTAATGTCTGGCATTCACTACAATGTGTAGTATTTTTGCACAAATCTATTACAAAATGTGAATCAATGGGTTGTATTGAACGATCAAATGGTGTCTAGTGTTTCAGTAAAGCATACATTCATTCATAAACTTTCACTCATTTATTGCTCAATAGTTGTTCATATATTTTGAACTTCCGGTGAAACAACTATTATTAATAGTCTATTAATATTGAAATCCAATTTCAAATCACTTTTAATTGGGAAAGACATGTTATTTGTCCAATAAATACATTTATTTCAATACAGTATATTGATAATAAAAATACACAATTATTTGTTCAAAATTTATTTAATCTCAGTTATCAATAATTAAAATTATATTATAATTAAATTGATAAGAAATCTCTTGATAATAAATGCATTCATTTAGTCGACTTTAGAGCAGGTAGACTAATTTCCTACAAAAAATATTAATAAAAACAATTATACAA